TCTGCAGGGGAGAACAGGTCTCTGCCCACCTCCGCGTGACACTCCCTCGCATACCTGCATGTCGCCAACAGGTCCCCTCGGAGTCTCCTCTTCTCCAGGCTGAAGAGACCCAGTTCCCTCGTACTGCAATCTTGCTGAGTGAGGACTAACCTGTGAAGCCCTGAATGGCTCAGAATTGAGGTAGTGGAACTCTCCCTCCCTCCCTCCCTCCCTCCCTCCCTCTCATGGGGCTGCCCCAGCATGTTTTGGGGCCAGCACATGTAGCAGGGTATGCCTGCTTTTCAGCCAGGAAAGGGGATCATTATTTGAAGGTGGGAGAACTTGAACTGGTCCCTTGTCATGGTCAGATCACTGCCTGCTGAATTTAGTCTAACAGTGACTTTTCTCCTCTGCAGGGAGGACCCATTCCGATGGTCCACCCCACAGGCTAATGGATCTGGATGGTTTCCAGAGGGCTCTGGGGGATTTTCTGGCTGATGTGGCTGATGGTCCTGCCAAATCCTTGGCTGATCTCTGGACTTCAGAGATGACCCGCAAAGTTGACACGATGGCTCCCAGGCGCCCCCTTGGTAGGAGCGCTGGTACAGCGCTGTGGCTAACCCGAGAGCGCTGCCCCGCTTTTGCTTAACAGGTCTGAGTGAGGGTCTCTGTGGAAGCAGGCAGAGGACTCTGGGAAGGGGCCCTGGTTGCTCTCACTTGAGCTGATATGGTGAGCAGGGCCTAAACAACAGGCAGCAACGCGTGACTGGACTGCATCAAATACATGGCTTTGGTGGGGGGGTTGCTTTTTTGTTCGCATTGCTTTGCTTTGGAATTTCCTCAAGGAGCACGAGGTGTCCGTGTGGGTCTACCCCACGGAATTTTCACCGCCCCCACCAGCCAACTGCACGATGGCTGATCCATATTTAACCTGGCACATGTCCCATTGGACTGAGTGCTCTCCAGAGGTGCCACCCCGTGGAACGTTTGGGTACAGCACCTGGGGGCTCCAGTGGTGGACTGCGGGACCCAGGCTGACTACAGCGGCCTCGCCCAGCCTGGTGCCTTCCAGATTTTTTGGGCTGGGGCTCCTATTCTCCCAGACCAGCGTGGCCGTTGGCACAGGAGGGAGGCACCCGGCTGGGAAGGGCTGGCCTGGTTCGATGGCTGCTGCCCCAGCTACTTGCCTGGAGTAACAACTCAGACATGCACATGCGTCACATGCTCACTCCGCAGTCGATGGCAGCAGCTGGACCCTTGGAAAAGCATCAGGTCTGAAATGATGCCAAAGCTCCATCTCTGGGAGATGTGACCAAGTCACCAGGAGAAGAGAGCAGCCACCAGGCGATGGACCAGTGGCCGTTAAGAGGTAAAAAAGCAAAAGATCTGCAGGCCAGACTTTCTCTGCCCATCTGTGTATGTGTGATTTCAAATCGTTTCCTCCTACTAATTTCTCCCCTTCATGGACCACTGCCTTGCCCTGGCGAAGGGGCTTGCGTAGCTCAATGAAGCTCTGAGCTGTGCCGTGCAGGGCCACCCAAGACGGACAGGTCATAGCAGAGAGCTCTCACAAAAGGTGATCCACTAGAGGAGGAAATGGCAGCCCACTCCAGTGCCCTTGCCATGAAAACCCCATGGACAGTTAAAGGGCAAAACGATTCAGGTCAGAAGGTGTCCAGTGTGCTACTGGGATGAGCAGAGGACTAGTACTAGTAGCACCAGAAAGAATGAAGCGACTGGGTCAAAGCCGAAAGGGCACCCAGTTGCGGATGTATCTGGTGGTGAAAGGAGAGTCCGATGCTGCAAAGACCTATACTCCATAGGAACCTAGAATGTAAGATCTATGAACCAAGGTGAGCTGGACATGATCAAACATGAAATGACAAGACTGAATATCGACATCTTAGGAATCAGTGAACTAAAATGGACAGGAATGGGTGAATTTAATTCAGATGACCATCAGGTATACTACTGTGGACAAGAATCCCACAGAAGAAATGGAGTAGCCTTCATAGTCAATAAAAGAGTAGGAAAAGCAGTACGGGGATACAATCTCCAAAATGACAGAATGATCTCAGTTCGAATCCAAGGCAAACCATTCAACATCACAGTAGTCCAAATCTATGCCCCAGCCACTGGTGCTGAAGAGGCAGAAGTTGACCAATTCTATGAAGGCCTACAACACCTTCTAGAAATCACACCAGAAATGATGTCTGTATCATCATGGGGGATTGGAATGCTAAAGTAGGAAGCCAAAAGATAACAGGCAAGTTTGGCCTTGGAGTACAAAATGAAGCAGGACAAAGGCTGGCAGAATAGGGAAGACTAGAGATCTCTTCAAGAAAATTGGAGATATGAAGGGAACGTTTCATGCAAAGATAGGCATGATAAAGGACCAAAATGGCAGGGACCTAACAAAGGCAGAAGAGATTAAGAAGAGGTGGCAAGATTGCACAGAAGAACTATACAAGAAAAATCTTAACATCCCCGATAACCACGGTGGGGTGGTCGCTGAACTCAAGCCAGACATCCTGGAATGTGAAGTCAAATGGGCCTTAGGAAGTCTGAGCAACAACAGAGCTAGTGGAGGTGACAGTATTCCAGCTGAGCTATTCAAAATCCTAAAAGACGATGCAGTAAAAGTGCTACACTCAAAATGCCAGCAAATTTGGAAAACTCAGCAGTGGCTACAGAATTGGAAAAGGTCAGTTTACACTCCAATTCCAAAGAAGGGCAATGCCAAAGAATGTTCAAACTACCACACCATTGCACTCATTTCACATGCTAGCCAAGTGATGCTCAAAATCCTACAAGCTAGGCTCCAGCAGTATGTGGACCGAGAACTACCAGAAGTACAGGCAGGATTTCGAAGAGGCAGAGGAACGAGAGATCAAATTGCCAACATACGCTGGATCATGGAGAAAGCTAGGGAGTTCCAGAAAAACATCTACTTCGGCTTCATTGACTAAGCCAGAGCCTTTGATTGTGTGGATCACAACAAATTGTGGCAAGTTCTTAAAGAGACAGGTGTACCAGACCATCTTATTTGTCTCTTGAGAAACCTGAAAGTGGGTCAAGAAGCAACAGTGGGAACTGGACACGGAACCACTGATTGGTTCAAAATTGAGAAAGGAGTTCGGCAAGGCTGTACACTGTCGTCCTGCCTATTTAACTTATATGCAGAGCACGTCATGAGAAAGGCGGGGCTGGATGAATCACCAGTTGGAATTAAGATTGCTGGGAGAAATACCAACAACTTCAGCTATGCAGATGGTACCACTCTAATGGCAGAAAGTGAAGATGAAGTAAAGAGCCTCTTGATGCTGGTGAAAGAGGAGAGTGCAAAAGTTGGCTTGGAACTCAACATTAAGAAAACTAAGATCATGGCATCTGGTCCTCTCACTTCCTGGCAAATAGATGGGGAAGAAATGGAGGCAGTGACAGATTTTATTTTCCTGGGCTCCAAGATCACTGCAGATGGGGACTGCAGCCAAGAAATTAAAAAATGCTTGCTCCTGGGAAGGGAAGCTATGGCAAATCTAGACAGCATACTAGAAAGCAGAGACATCACTCTGCCAACAAAGGTCCGTATAGTCAAGGCTATGGTTTTCCCCGCTGCAATGTATGGCTGTGAAAGTTGGACCATAAGGAAGGCTGAGCGCCAGAAAATTGAGGCCTTTGAATTGTGGTGCTGGAGGAGACACCTGCGAGTCCCTTGGACCGCAAGGCGATCAAACCGGTCAGTCCTAGAGGAGATCAACCCTGACTGCTCTTTAGAAGGACAGATGCTGAAGATGAAACTCACACACTTTGGCCACCTAATGAGAAGGAAGGACTCCCTGGAGAGGAGCCTAAGGCTGGGAACAATTGAGGGCAAAAGAAGGGCAGGGAGAAGGAACCCTAAAAGGAGGGTGCGGAGGACAGGAGCAATTGCTCTTTCTAGCTCAGCCCTTATGTTAGATCAGCAATTATTTATATTTAATTAAATTCTATTATAACATATTTTATGCATCTTATATAAGCTGCCCTGCCAGCACCGGTGAGCGCTTCCATGAAGAAATCCCCTCCTGCAGTGCAAGCGATGGGAAGGCATGGGAGGCCAGGAGCCACAGTGCCACATCCGGACCCCCGCGTTCCCCTGGCGTGCTTGAGGTCGTGCCACAGTTGTGCAAGTTTTTTGTAAATGATTTTGTGTTGTTTGTTGTATATAACTGCTGAGAGAGTCCTGTCGGGCTATTGAGCTGCATACCGTGTTTCCCCTGGGTCTTGTATTGATTTTTGCTCCAAAAGATGCACTAGGGCTTATTTTCAGGTGATGTCTTATTTTTTATGTACAACAATCTACATTTATTCATTTATGTACAAAAATCTACATTTATTCAAATACAGTCATGGCATCTTCTTCTGGAACTGTGTCTTGACTCTCCAAACCCGAATTGTGTTGCAACGGATGTACTAAATGCGTCTGTCTGGCTGATGATGTACTATTGTATTTCATTGTATTTTATCATGTTGTAAGCCGCCCCGAGGTTTCGGCAAGGGGCGGCATAGAAATGTTATAATAATAATAATAATAATAATGATGATGATGATGATGATCTTAACTGGGCTTATTTTTGGTGTAGGTTTTATATTATGAGCATTCTGAAAAATCCTGAAAAAATATTTTCCAGTTAGGTCTTATTTTCGGGGAAACAGGGTAGAAATCAAAATTCCAAATATTTATGCTTGTACGTGCGCGTGTGTTCCGTTTTAAGCGATGCCTAGTCCACGCACCGTCTTTATCAACAACTCAGAAAGGGCCGGAGGCCCAGTCGGAGCTACTCTCCTCCGTGTTTCCAGGGGAATGGCGAAGTTTCCTTTTATTACGGGCAGGGCGCCATCCCGTCCGGGGAACTCGGAAACGAGCCCTGCTCCCACGAGTCTACTGATTTAGATCTCTGCGCCGAGCACCCCGAGCGCTGCATGACGTCACTGGCACGCGCCGGCTCCCGCCCGGCATTTCCGCTTCCGTGCGGGGGGTGAAGCTTGGCGGCGGCGGCGGCGGGCGGGCGCAGAAGCGGTGCGATGGCGGCGGCGCTCGGCGTGGTGTCTCGGCGTGGGGCGGCCGCGGCTCCCCGGGCCGGGCTGACGAGGCTCCTGTCGGCGGCAGCCGCGTCGGGGCACAAAGAGGCCGGGACCGGTGAGTCCAGCGGGCGGGCCTGGGGAGCGGGTGACCTTCCGAGGGCGGCGGCGGCGGGCCCGCCTCCCTCTGCCCGCTGGGGGCGGGGGCTTGGAAGCGCTCGGCGGCGTGAGCGTGCTCCGTCTGAAGCGTCCTCCTCCCGACCTTCGCTTCTGCTCCGGGTTGCGGATAGCCTTTCAGCACGATGCGTTTATAAAGCATTGCGCTGCGAGCTTTATGGAAGCAGAAAGGAAACAGGGTACCTGCAAAAGGAAATGGAAGAAGCTTCCGGGAGGGGGGGGGTTAGAAGGAGTGCAACGCCCAGAAATCCCTGCTTGTTTTGAAATTGACCTTCATTGTGCGTGAAAGCTTAGCAGGACTACATTTCCCTTATTTTGTCCAGTATTTATGTTTACGTTTTGCTTTTTTCTGGCAATGCTTTGCCAGTATTGTCAGGGCATTATCAAGGAGAGCTAGAGATTTTAAGCTTCTGGAAATTTTGAAGCCACGAAAGGTCTTTCATAAAACCAGAAATGGAGAGGAAACTAAACATATGCATTACTTTTTACAGCATTCTTAACGAATCTAAAGTACTGTACGAACGTATTTTATGTATAACCTGGTTTACTCATAACACTGTTGTTAAAACTAAGAACACTTATATGTACATTTGCTGTCAGAATATACTTATAAACTTAATGTACCAACAAATATTTTTATGTAGCACAATACAGTGTAGGATCCTGTTCTATGTCTGACCAAAGGGAATTTCAGTAAATAGTTCCTGAAGTGTTCTACGGTGTAGCATCTGTTCCTGCTTGTGGAAAAATTGGTTGGGGTGGGCTTTCGGGGATTCTAGTCTGAAGGAAAAGCTGCTGGATGTATCTTGAATTGGGAAGCTCTAGTGTACTGGGGGCAGTAACCAAGGCTGTCCCAGGAACCTTTAACCCTGATGTAGACCCTGCAGCCAAATGTGACTCTGGGGGTGGGGTCCAGAAGCTCCTCCTTCTCACCTCACCCTTCCCCCAACCACTGATAGGTTTGATGATTTTCTGGGTTTTGTGCCATCTTCCTTTCTAAATGGTTCTATTGCCTATTTTAGGGCTTGGTTACTTGTACAAACTTTTACCTAAAATGTGCTAGAACTGTTGGGTTTTGTCCCAGCACTTCAGCTCTTTGCCTTACCTGCCACTGGAAGACCAACTAAAAGCTTTTCCGAAGTGGACTTAGGCCATTTTGCTGAAAGAGGCTACTGCCTTAAGCAATAGCATTCTTTATATAGAGTGATATTTTATTCAATTTTCAAAGAATTCCTTGTTCATTCATTTTGAAAGGTGCCTTTATATCTCTGGATAGGCATGAGGCTGCAAGAATAATAGGTTGGTCAAGAATATGTTTGCAGCAGGGGTGAAACTTGATTGGGAGGTTTCCTGCTTTGAAGTCTCAACAGACACACATTGCCCAAGAGCCTAGTGAGGATCTGTGGTACAGATTTGGCTATGTTGTATCTGTGTGTGAGTTTTTTATTTAGTTAGGATGTCGTATGGTTACTAGGGACCAAGTTGAAAAGCATCAGGAAGCTGCTACTTTACAGAGCACAGTTTAAGCCAAGTTCTCCAGCCTGCCCAAACATAGGCTGCCCCCTAATCAGTCTGAATGTCTGCATCTGGGTCTGAAACACACTGAAGTTGCTGGCCATTAATATGTTGGATTTAAACAAGCAAATCATTGTGTTTTCCTTGTGTGTGCATTCTCTCAATTAGCTCGTACATGGAAGATTCTCTCCTTTGTCGTGGCTCTCCCAGGAGTTGCTGTTTGCATGCTGAACTGCTACTTGAAGGCTCAGCAGGAGCATGAACGGCCAGCATTCATTCCTTATTCACATCTTCGCATCCGGACTAAGGTATTAGACTTCGAATGCCCCTAAGCAGGTCTTATTCTTCCAGACTGATGCTGTTCAACCAAATAGGAATGGATATGTCAACATTTAATCTGAAACAGTTGGCTTTACTAGATTGAAAACAGAATTTATGGTTGAGGCATTTATATAGAAAGGACGTTTCCATTGTGAACTTCCTGGGTGGTGGACTTTCTTGAAAAGTTTCAGCTTAGTGTCTTAAAAATCCAAATTCTCTCTTCTTTTTTCAGCCCTTCCCTTGGGGTGATGGGAACCATACCATGTTCCACAACCCACATGTTAACGCCCTCCCAACTGGCTATGAAGATGACCATTAAGCTTGTGGGTTACAGAAGCACTGTGGACCACTTGAGGTAGCTGGACCAGAATCCACACTGGGACCCACAATATAAATGCTCTGCATTCCTTGCATTGTTGAAGTATGAAAGGCACTCTGGCCTCTGCAGTCCAAATTGCTGAGGTCACCTAAAAGAAATAAAATTATTCCATTCGAGTTTGTCTGTGAGTTCTCTTGATCATGCAGTTCAGGAGTATCTTATCTAGTGTCTCAGGGGAAGTCACACATTTGACCCTGTATGGAAGAAGCCACAATGGTTCTTCAGAAAAGTGTTGGCATTGCTGCGGCAAAAGGTTCTTCTGGGAGGGAATGAAGAAATGAAGTAGCCTTTGCTATCCCAATATTGCTTGGGCTTGAGCACATAATGTTCTGAAATGACTTTTTGCCTCCAGAAGGTGATGACAAAGCAGAGAACTCAAAGTAATTTTGATAAAACCAAGATCTCTCATCTTGTAGTAATGACTTAATGCATCACTTATATTTATAGTAACTTATCTAAAATGTTTGTTGTGAGATGTGGCATTTGGATTGTCCAGTAGCCACTCTGTGTTCTCCTGCCCTGTATGCCTCTGTGAAGACTTGGGGAGGTGGTACTTGCTTCCAACCAGGGCAGTGTGAGACGTTCTTGTCTACCTGGGTATTTTGTCAGGATTGTCTTTAGGCACCTCTATGCAGGACATAAGCAAAGGCTCAAACTTACATTCTCTCAGATAAACTAGATGGGCAGAGAAGAGTGTCCAGAACATGGCAAAGAAGCAAGAGGGAATTATACAGAATATCAAAGCTGCTCCCATCCTGTGAAAGGCCAGTTCTCCTAAATGGGGATAGTGGGCATCATAAGCACGCATTGGTCCTGGGGAAGAGAGAGCTGCAGTCATCATCCAGAGACGAGCAACCCACAGAGGAAGGGTAACCTCCCCCTCTTTACTTGCTGCCACAACATCTGTCTGCTATTAGCAATTAGATTTAAGGCAGAAAGGATGCCACTGGGAGTTTTACTCCTTAGCTGAATTAGCTGCAGAGGGAAGGAGGGAGGAGGAGATAAGCATGTGTGAGGGGACTGGAAGCCCTCAAGATTGTCCCCAGAGGAATGTGGACGGGTGGGGAGGAGGAGGCAGCAAGTCACCCTTGTTCTGGTTCAACACATTTCAAATTGTGGCATTTCATGTTGTGCTTCTGGGCTGCTTTCTCCACATTTTCGGGGAAACAACCTCTAAGACAGGCCAGTAGCAGTACTGCCACTTTGGGGAAGGAATCAGTAGCACCACCACAGAGACTTGTCCTCAGGAAAAGAGCTGCAGCAGAAATCCATACCTCCCCTTTTCAGGTTCCCAAAGTAATACCCCCCCAAACGTTAAGCTCACTACAAACCACTGCAGTTTGGACCTTTATTCTCCACTTTCAATTCCCATTATTGTACATAACAGGACAGGTACAGCTGTTCAGTCATGTTACAAGGCGCTTTCTACTGAAAGAGACCTGGCGCACCTGCCACGGACCTGGGGTAGCGTTCTTCTCTGAAGCACAGTAGGGAACGCCTGCCCAGCCCAGTGCCCGCTTTGGTGCACCTGCGTCGCCCTCTGCCCACACCCCCCGCTGCCACTACTGTTGCACCTGCTCTGCCTGCTGCTGCTCTCCAGGCTGGGCCTTTAGGAAAAGGCATCAAGCACCAGGCCCCATGGCTGGTGAGCACAAGGGGACAGCCAACCAGGAGGAGGGGAGCAGCAGAGCACAACTAGAAGGGATGCAACATGCTGGACTGGGTGGAAACAGCTGCAGCTGCCCTGATCCCCCAGATGCCTCCGGACTCCATCTACCAGTGCAAAGGCAGGCTGGACAAGCGTGGGACCTGGGGGTGTTCTAGGGAAGGAGGGCTGCTGCAGCTGTGCAGCCGGGCTTTGCTCCATTCAAAGCTGGGCCCTTGAAATCTGTTTTTAAAAATCAGCCAAGTTGGTTTTTGCAGAGGCAGAATGAATATGAGCTTGTGGGAGCGCGGGAGCTCTTGTAGGTTCATCCATTGGGCTGTGCCTTGGCATCTGGCTGCTTGTGCAGGTCATCTTTGTTCGTAACAGCAGCAGTAACCTTCCTTCCAGGTTTAATCTTTGAATACCCAAGGTTTTGCCTCCAAAACTAGGTTTGGTTTTTTTTAAAGGAATGAGTTCCTGATGCTATAAAAAGCACAAGTCAGAGGTTTCTGATGTGCTTGCTGTCTTAGTAAGGGTTTGGGGGAGAAGGGTCACACCTCATAGTAGCATCCTATTTGAAGCCACTTTGCAGCAAAAACAACAACAACAACTGGTCGCAGCAAACTGGCTGCACAGCATTATCTTCTAAGATGCCACGGTACAACAATATGGCGAAAGGCACAAAGCTTCCCCACAGTGCTGGATTTTGCCTGGCTTTGAAGAGTTCTGACCCAACTGCCCCGGTATGGTTGAGAACATGCTGCATTTTAAACTAGCCCAGTAAAAATTTATGTCTTACAATATTTGTTTATACCAACCGTGTACTTGTTTCAGTTCTGGAATTTGTTCCATGATATACAGGGGCAGCTAGTTAAAATTAAACTGACATCACTATGGCTTTGGGTAAGTGAAATTAATTAGTTTTACATGTGCTCCTCATGCTGCATAAACAGCCCTCCCTTTCTAGGTCTACCCCTAAGAATGCACTGCAGTGATGTGCAAGACAGAAGGAATAAGCTCCTTTCAAACCACAGGCATGTGCCATTCTTAGAAAGAAAGTAAGTAAAAATGATGGGCACATTTCCCCTTCATGTTCTCTGATCACATCCAACAAGTGGAAGTTAAGTTCTATGCATCTACTTATCCCTCTCTGAAACAAAGGAACTCTTTTGAATCTAAAATATTATTCATCAAACCTGCAAGTGAGGAAAAAGAGCTTAGGATTTTGCAGTGCTCTGAAGACCAAGTGAGGACACTTCCTCAGAGAAAGGCACACCCATTCTGTAGCACCATTTTGCTCAAATTCTGCATTACTTAAGCTGTCATAATGGACTTCAGGATAAGAGACGGCTTTTAAGGAACGCTAATAGACAGAAAAGATTCAAGAAAACAAAATTCCAACAGAACACACTGATTAATGGATCAGAGTCCCTGACATTCATTTTAACATTGACATAAATAACCGCAATCAGCTGATGAATCAGCCATAAGAATCTACCTGATTCAACTGTTAGCAGTATATTCCGTTGTAAATCTCAAAGAGTCCCCCAGTCTTGTACATGATAACACCACTCCCCAAATGCCACAAGAGATTAAACTGGCTCCTGCCGTTATGGGGCGGACACTGCCATGGGGAAAAGTCTCCATTTCTCACCACCCAATGAAGAAATCAAGCTGGTCAGAGTGCTGTTCAGCAGTCAATTTGCTTCATGGCTGTTCTTCAGTGTTCACAGGAGACTTTCTGGCATCCTCTCAGTCAGGAGTTTTCAGATTTTCCTTTGTTGGGGCCCATGAATTCCAACCCTTCGATAGGTATGTCTTTCTCCTTAATAGCTTTCTGGAAATGGGGAAAAAGCCTATTAAGAATTCCAAGGTTACTAAGAATATATGTCCAGCACAAGACTCCAGTTTAAGCTCAGGGGAGTAATTTTCTAATTATACCTACACTAATAACTGCAAAACTGTATCAAACCCTCTGTATAGAACCTTTTCTACAATTCAGTTGGGGCCACATCCCTCTTTACACCCATGTTTTAATTAGGTTTCAACCCCTTAAGCCTTGTTTTCTAAACTTAAGGATGTGAAAGCACTCTCATCCTGGTATTAATTAGATTAATATCCCACCTTTTTTCTTATGAAGAACTCAAATTGGCTCACATCATTCGCCTCCTCCTGCTCCCAACCTTCTCCCTACAACAGCAACCCAGTGAGGTAGGTTGGGCTGAGCATCTGCAACCGGTATAAAGTCACACAGGGGCCTCCATGGCTGAGTGGGACTGAGTCCCAGCCCTGCGCTCTTAACCACTACAACACACTGGCACGTCTGGGAGGAGTGCCTGAAGCAGCAGCAGAAGGAACAGCTTAAGAGGTTCCTTATGCCTCAGTGCTACGGATTTCATCCTGAGCTCAAGCACCACCACAAATGCTCTGAAGGATTCTGAGTCAGTTCCCGGTGCAATTTACAATCAAACCGGAAAACAGCTGAATGTTCTGAAAGCCAGATGAACTCATTTTGGGAAACAGCTTTACAGGCAGAGTGCTGCCAAAAAGAGGACTAAACCCTATGTTTCCATCAATATAGTCTCTCTTGGTTATTTATTTACTTGCTATACTGTCCAAATCTCTCTGGGAAGTACAGAACCATATCCAAAAGAAAAAAGGAAGGAAAAAAACAGAAAAGGGGAGAAGGCAGTCTTTCAGAGATCCTGACACCAAGCTCTGCATGGTAGGGTCTTCGGCCTGTTTGGACCTGTGGACATATTTGAGTAGTTGAGGTGCTGCTGTGGCTGCACCCAAAATGGATTTCATGGAGGATACAGCTAGTGCACTTTAAATTTTTTACTGTGAATTTCAAAATCAGAACCAAAACCTACAAAAAGTAAAAAAGTATTAGTTTTCTTACATGAGATTTAAGTGGCTCTATCATAGTGAATACACAAATAATATGTATCCCTTATATTTTATTTATGGAAAAATGCACTATTTTTAAGGAATAGACTTCAAAAGAGACAGCCAGATATCCAAGTATTTGTCCATTTGTAAATTATGCCAACCAAATGTTTCATTGAGTCCTGTTAGTGCAGCTAGACATTTCTCTTTGCAATTCTGTAATGTTAGTCTTTTAGCTGACAGAATGATGTGGAGAATCCTTTTATGTTGACCTTACAATATGTTCCACAAGATGGGTAAAAGATGCAAATCTGTAAATATTAAGGAACTTTTGTTTGTAAGATTTATGCAAATTGCCTCTTTTGCACCACCAAAACATAAGCATTAGCTGTGTTCAACTCTGCATCCATCAGCCAAATTTAGTTCAGCTCTCACTGAAAAGCCTTTTTGTTTCATTAAATGTAACCTGATTAAATATCTGTTGCCCCTTCTGAAATAGATGTCAGCAAAGCACTCCTGTGACTGGGCAAAACAGAGTGCTCCAATTAATTATTCCATGCTTGCTTAAGACCCTGTGCATCATATGTGTTGACCAATAATAGATATTTTTAAACATGAATTGTAGGTTGACACTGCTGTTCAGACATAACCAATATTTGGTTGTGGGAGTAATCCTGAACTAGAAAACTGGATTCAAAAGAAAATACATCTGTGTTCTGAGGCTCAGGGGCTGCTTCTGCCTTGTCTTCAGTGTCTTCAGAGAAGTGACTTGTCTTTTTGTTTTTCTCATTTCCCTTTCTGTGAGATAGGGGTCATGACACTAGCTGTGCCCACCACAGCTGCCATTTTGTGAGAGCACCTAAGACATTTTTCTCAAAATTCGAACTGCACCCACTGGCTCCATCAGATTGGGGGCCCCTCCTTCAAAGTTTCATGCAAAGATTTTGGTGGTCTTACCAAGCCTTAACCCAAACTTCTTGAGTCAGGAAATTCAGCAAATGAATCTGAGGCCCTGTGAATATGGTAAAGTGTTATTCAGGACGTCTTCTTCCAAGGAGCACAAGACGTCACACACATTTCTCAGCTCTTATCAATCCCTCCATCCTGGGAAGCAAAAGATGGAGCCTGACCCAAAATCTGCCAGTGCACTTCACCGTCCAGCAGCCATGCCCTTTCTATGCACTGCTTTTCACAAGCATGGCCTTTCAGTTTCGAAAACATCGTTCTGCAAATCACTACCGCTGGACTACACCTCCCACAGCCACTGGCCGCACGGCAGGGATGATGGGAGTTGCAGTCCAACACATCTCCAAGGCGCCTAGCTGCGCAGCTGGGCGGTCCCCGGCCCCCCCAGCTGGCAGGGGCTGCGCTTGGCCGGCCGGAGGCGAGCCGCCGGGCCGGGCCGGGCCGGGGCTCCGCGCGCGCCCGGAGGGCCTCTTGCCTGGACGCAGAGCTGGTAGCGCTTGAAGAGCTGCACGCAGGGGTCGCCGCCGCCGCCCTCCCCCTTCAGGAACTTCTCGGCGAACCAGCGGTTGAAGCACTGGTCGTACTCCTGCTTCAGCTCCGTGCAGGCCTCGCCGACGCTGTTCATGGCGGCGGCACGCGAGGGCGCCCCGCCCGCAGGGAGCGCGGCGCGCGCGTGACGCACTTCCGCCGCGCCCCGAAGCGGCATGTGGGGCGCGCGGGCGCCGCGCCTCTGCCGCGCCAGCCTGTGCTGCTGGCGCCGCTTCCCCGCGGGGGTCCCGCCCGCGCCGGCCGAGGAGGCCGGAGCCCGCCGGGTGAGTGGGAGCCTCGGCGGGGCTGCGAGCCGCCCGGATGCCCGCGCTGCGGCGGCGGCGGCAGGCCTCGGACGGTGCAGGGAGCGGCCTGCCCCGGGGGGCTGGCAGGCGCGTCTCCCTGGGCAAAGCTCTCGTGTGGCAGGAGCCGGGAGTTGCACCTGCCCCGCAGTCCCGATGCGCAGCTTTTCCATTGCGCGCGCGCACGCTTTCAGATCGCCCGTTCATCTGGTATATTTGAAAGCCTGGGCTCAGTCCTGCTACCTGTGACCACACAGCGTTCCCGCCCACGCAGTGAATCAGGGGAGCTGGCTTCCATGAGAAGTGTGGGGTGGCGGTAGGCCTGCTTCTACAAGTGCTGCACTGATTACTTAGCTTGGCAGGAGAGACTGACCGGTTGATCTTTTTCATTAAGTAAAGAACAGTAAAACTTTTAAGCACATGTATGTAGAAGCAAACAAGGGGAGTCAGTAAATGAAGCCAAAATAAATTGCAACACAAAATTCCTTCCAGATATATTTTAAAAGCGGGATTTTCATAAAGAAATAGCTGTTTATTTTACATTTCCAGTAGATGAGACTCTCCTTTCAGGACCTAAATGTTATTTTTGTTTTGTTTTGTTTTTTTTTTGAAGAAAAGAGTAACTTTGGAGTTGTTGGACCACCTGGAACATCTGTCACTTGTTGATTTTCGCAATTGGGAGGGTGTGGAACGTTTAGAGAAAGCAATAGAATTTGCTGAGAAACTTCACACTCTTAATACAAATGGAGTGGAACCAATGGATTCAGTACTGGAAGACAGGTAAGCACCTATTAGCGGCGAAGGATGCAATCCTATGCATGTTTGGACAGGAAAAAGTCTTACAACTTCTAGCTCAGCAGAAGAGTTGCAGAGTGCTGCACTGTTGCCCAGCCAGCATTCCCAGGTTTTGGTTGGGGAATGCTGGGAGCTCTTCTGACTATGCATGCATAGGAATTCACCATAACTTTGCTCACTGCATAATCTTCTCTTTTTGCTTGATTAGTAATGTTGCTTTGCCCTTCTTTAAAGGTGTTATTTAACAATCATATTTGAAAATCTACATACTATGCTAGTTAAAGAGCCAAGGTACAAATGTAGCACAGGATTTCTCTAAAATGCTGTTGGACTGAACAGCAATTTTTTTTGCTACATATACAGTGGTGCCTCAGCCCACAAACTTAATCCGTTCCATGACTGGTTGTGATCCAAATTGGTCATGACCCAAGTCAAATTGCCCCATAAGGTTCAATGTAAATGAGATTAATCTGTAACCATTTGTTTTATCACAAAAATTTGAAACAAAGTGACAAAGAACAACAAAGATCGTGGCCATCTCCCTCCCCCGCCCCCGCTTGACCACGATTGTACCTGTCTTCCCTGCACGAGCACGACCGCAACCGTCTTCCCACCCCGAGTATGATCGTGGCCATCTCCCCACCGAGCACAACTGCAGCCATCTTGCTCCCCCCCCCCCCCCGAGCATGACTGTGATCGCGCCCGTGCAGGGAAGACAGGCACAATCACGATCATCACCCGATGCAGAGTTTGTGACCTGAGATACATTTTTTCTGAAATTTCTGTTTGTGACCCGATTTGGTTGTGAACTGAGGCATTTGTGAGCCGAGGTGCCACTGTATTCAGGAGATTCTCACACAGCGTAGCTCTTGATGTCATGTACACGCACCATTCCAGTGTGGCTGTGTGTGCACGAGCAGCTGTGCATGTTGATAGGAATGCAAACTCAGTCAGTGCGAATTAGACTATTATGGAATCTTGGCAAGTTCCAGCCACAGATTAAGGCCAGGGAATGCCAGGGAGATGAGGCATGAGGGGTTGGTGCTGGAGCCTGGATTGAGCCCCCGTCTACCCCATGAGAATGAGGTGGAGTCAGAAGACAGCCTGACCCACAGCAAGGGAGTGGGACAGGAGCTCAGCAGCCCATCGGGCGTAGAAGACCCTCCTCCGGAAGAGGTGGTGCTAGTTGCTGGGTGACAGCCTCCAGTGGGGGGTCAATTAGGTGAGAAGCAGGAAGAGCAAAGAGAAAAGGAAAAGAAAAGCAAATACCACAGTGCTCTGTCTCTAGGAGTCAAACACTGAAAGGGCTATAAGCAGGGTGGATTTAATTTAAACCAAATCAATTTCAATCACTAGTCAGTACGACTAGATTTAAATCATGGCTTTCTACATAATTTTGCATGCATGCCTTACCCATAGGTAGATGAACCTCATTAAAATACCCACAAACTGGGAGTCTCTTTTCTGGCCTGCTGCCATTATAGGTTTTGTCCTCCATGGAAAGAGTAATATGGTAAACCTCAGGCTACAAACAAAAAGATCCAAAGGCTTGTGGAGTATTTTGCTCAAAAGGCTTCATTTTGATTTTTACCGCTTGCCCCTCCCTCCTCACACTTATCTTCTTGTGCAGAACTATTCCACTCCCAACAATCTACTTCTCTTCATTGAATTTTTTGATACTTAGCACTCATGAAATAAGGGGTTGATTCTGTGTTCATAGATTTGTAAAGGAACAATGGGATTAAGGTCTTTTTCTCAACTCTGTATGTTTATTTTATTTTTGCTGTGAAGCGGCAGCATGTGATCTCTCCAGGCACAAATTCAGTTTTGAGAACTGTAAAACCAAGCATCTGAGATAATATCTTCTAGACAGAAAAATTGCCCGCTAATCTTACCAAAAGCTCTGGAAGAGCATGACGTGAATGGATTGATGAAATTCATTGACCAAAAAATTTAAACACTGCATGTCTACAGTCTCATGCTATATAATTAAAAACTAATCTTTATTTCATGATGAATAGCCTTTGGACTATAATTTATTTTAAATAGAAAACTATCTTTAGAGAGATTTTTTCCTCAAAAAGCATTTTATTTTAAAAAATCCAATTGCAATTTTAAAAATTCAATTGAAAATAAAAATATTTTTTAAAAAATCATTGATTTTTATCAACCTTGGATATAAGAAAGGTTGGGAATGAGAAGTGTTAGAGAGGGCTCAACATTTCACTCGGTGTGTACTCAAAGTCAAGGAGAACCACAGCTTACAACACTTGCCCTGAAACAGCATCCTAGAGATATTGTAAAATTTAAAAATAGTGATAGTTGCTAGCGTTAGTGACATATTATGCATGTTTACTTACACACAAGCCCTTTTGGGTTCAATGCAGACCACAATTAGCAAGGAGTGGGAGGTGGAGGAAGCAGTTCTAAAGGCCTTTGACATGGGCCCAGGGCTCACAGGATACTTTTGAGTCCCTTGTCTGAGGTCAGAAATAATGCTTAACCTGGGGAGTGATGAGCGCTCCAATCCCTTTGCAGTTGAAATGGGAAGAACCACACCAGCTGCTCTCTGAGGTTGGTACTCCTACCTTAGAGGTGGTGTCATTTTGTTGAGTGGGAAGGAGAGGTCACACCAGTCTCCTTCCTTCCTCCCCCCGCCCCCTCCCCCGCCCAAGCTAGGTAAGCCAAGCCCATGTAATGAAAAATGTAGGGTAGGCAGTGAAGACCACCTCTGTCATTCTTTGTGCCCTGACAGAATGTTCTTACATCTTCTGAAGAGTTTAGGATCTTAAGGTCATCAAGGGCACAACTTTTAAGACTGTGTATTAAAACGATATTAAAGATTCATTGGAATTCTGTCAGTTTTGGCCATGATAGTCAAGTGGACTGCTGTATTAGGAGGATGTCTAGCTGTGACTCTGAGGACATATAAGGACCCTGCTGAGCCAGAACGCTGGACAAGATCAACCTGTGGTCTAGCAAGACAATTCTTAGATTCATATGAACTTTGTAAAAGATATGCCTACAGATACAAGAAGAGTATGGACATTCAATATCATGCAGCCATCATTCTAGCCAGACAATTCCAAAATCAGAAAATCTGTGTAATACACAGTACAGAACTGGGAAGGCTTTTCTTTTTCCTGCAAATTACATACTTAGCTTTGAAAAAAGGAATATGAGGTATGCATGGTGAAGCTACCACTACTCAAAGTGCAAGTGAAAGGCAGTAACTTGTGTATACATGACTCTTTGTTACATGAAGTTAAGTTATCTGGCCTAATTGACCACATCTTGGAAGGTGAATAACAACTTTATATTCCCAGGCATCTGTACCTCAGAGAAGATACTGTTACAGAAGGCAGCTGTGCAGAGGAGCTTCTGAAGAAAGCTAAACAGACAGTTGAAGAATATTTTGTAGCTCCACCAGGTAATGGTTAGACCAGCGAAGTTCTTGCTGTGAGATGCTTGGAGCTTGTATCTCTGTGTGGGGGTATGCTAGATTTTCAGATGACACTTAACTCTCCAGTTCAAGAATTACAACCTAACAATGCTACTAAAACCCTTACACAGGAGACAGATTGTCTGTGATCCATGGTAAAAACCCAAACCCAAGACCAGTCTTCCAAGCAACCTTGGATTTTGTGATTTTATAAATTGTGCCCTGAATTCTTACACTCCCACAAATTTGGAGGCAGAGCAGAAGGACTGATGTCTCTCTCACTGCACCTCCAGTACTGCGTTCCAGCTGGGCAGCTGAAGCCCTTTGAAGGGGAAAGAAAGGAAGCTGGAGCACCATCAGAATAGTTTGTATCCTGCTGACAGGCTCCTTCCCCACCCCCAGAACAACCCTCCCACCCAGGGTGGATTTCCCAACTACAGGGAGGCAACTGGTGCATGCTAGATGCAAATGCATGGAGAGGAGATTTTTAGAAAGCATCTCCACACTCGGTGCTTTGTGTATTCTTCTGCAGACTTGCAGCAAATGTTGTCAGAAAGAGTTCACAAGGAAAGAAAACAGCCCCAGATTCCACACTCATTTTCCTCATCCATCACTAATACAGACATAATGTATTGATTGTGCACTCTATTCATTATACTACAAAAATACATTTTTAAAGCATGCCAGTGTTCATTGTACTAAAAGAGAGTTTGCAGGAGAGAATGACTGGAGCTGTCAAAGTAAAACGTATACCTTGAACTAAATTCAAGCCAATTTTCTTGTTTGCATTAGGTAATATCCCTTTACCAAAGCTGGAAGACAGAGAGTCTTTTCTACAGAGGGAAGAGTCCTAGGCAGAAGATTATTGTGCCACTGTTGATATCTTTAGAATCTAGTCCCTGCATCTTTAAAAGAATTAAATCTTTCAGCACATCCTTCCACATTTTTCCTCTGAAATGACTGCCTTTGATATGCTGCCTTCGTTTAGTCTATTAAGGGTGTAATCCTATTCATGTAAAAACAAAACAAAACAAAACAATGCCCCACTACTCTCAGTATGGGTAGCTGGGGAATGTTGGGAGTCATAGGACTTTTTTTTCTATCTAACATGATAGTATTCTGGTTTTGGGCTTGAAGACTGTTCTTGAAAATACTGGCTGTATTCACATAAGCAACCCCGTGTGGTTAGTATGGTTCATAGGTTTTCTGCCATGATGTATGAAAGCCATACAGTGTGGTGTACTGGTTAAGAGCATGGGACTGGGACTGAGGATCTGGGTTCTAGTCCCCGCTCAGCCATGGAGCCAACTGGGTGACTTTGGGCCAGTCACAGACTCTCAGCCCAACCTACCTCACAGGGTTGTTGTTGTGGGGATAAGATGGAGGAGGAGAGATGATGTAAGCTGCCTTGAGCCCATTGTAGGAAAAAGGCAGGCTATAAGCCGCTATGTGTATATATATGTATGTATGTACATGCTTTCTATGTTGTCATGGTTTCCATCCTCCCCACTCAGTTGTCTTGCTGTTGGCACATATCCCATCAGCCAGCACACCTGAAATTAAATGCCAAGGTGCATTGTTTCCTGCCTGTGTCACACAGAGAGGCTGAATGGCTAGAGCAGCTCCCACAGCTGCCACTCTTTCCAGGGGAGTCTGTGTTAGTTGCATACCTGGACCATGGAAATCATGTCAGACAGCATATGCCATAGTGGTATAGACAAGCCATAGAATAAACTGCTGTGTCTCACTATGGTTTCTAAAGAACAAATTTACCATAGTGAAATACCACGACTAGGTTCAGACAACACAGCAGATCAACAATAGTATAAAACCACCATGGCCTGTCATGGTGTCTCAACCCATCTTTGGGTTCTGTTTGTAAAACATGCATACTGAAATCCGTGACTCCCATTGACTTAATCACATTTACTGTCGCCAAAACTGGATCCTGCTCTATGCTTACAACTCCAGATGAGGCAACATTCCAGAGCAAAGTTAGGAGAGCTTAAACCTGCTGTTTTCACCATGGCTTTGATGCACCCAAGTGTGATTGTGGTTAAAACGTTTTAATGACCTTCACAGAATGGAAAAACATGTTTAATTCTGGAGAAGGTATGGTCTCGATTGAGCAAATTATGGCCCTTCAGGTATTTTGGGAACAACGTTAGTGTTCCCTCACCCCTGGCTTTGATAGCTAGGACTGATAGTAATTGTCGGCCAAACTACTACAGGGGCTCCAAGTTGCCCACCCTAGAAAAATGGAAATCATGGAATGGGGAGAAAGATGCAGAGAGAGCACTTTATGAAGCACCAAGCGACCTAAGGACTTTTACACCGCGTCTCTCCAGCTGTAAATCAAAAGGCACAGTAACAGGCCAGGTCCACTCGCCTTGTTTGTTCAGACTGGAATGGTCAGGAAGTGGCTGTTGTGCGCTCAGCACTGCTTGCAGGCGCCCAGTTGTGATGCATGGGAGGGTAGGTGAGAGAACGAACCATTCTGGTAATACATTTATGGGACTAAGGTAAGACCCAAGGGGCAGACTTCATTTTGGAGCGCCTGAGTCTGCATTCCAGTGACGGTGTGGAGGCAAACCCACCCCACCATATTTTAGCTTATTACCAGTAGCCAAGCCTCGGCCTCATCACAGGCAATTAACCCTTTCAGAATGGGCAAAAATGGCAAAAGCTGAGAAGCCGTCACGATCAGTGGTTGCAGGGCAGAGGGTTCCAGGCCCTACAGAGACGCCTAACTCATGAGGCTTAAGGGGATGGAGATCTTTAGCACTTTCTTCCTATCCAAATTCAGAGACACACTGGGCAAATCCAACTCTGTCAAGATACGAGAAAACTATGGTTTAATATCAGCGCTAAACCATTTTTCTGTGCAGAAATAAACAGTGAATAAGTTGTGTTTTTAGATGTATAGTAATTTCTCCTCAAGTTCATGGATATAAAAATTCATGAGATGATCACTTTCACTGAGCAGTTCTAATGCTTCATAAATAAACATGTAAATAAAGACCCAGCATTTTAATAACATGTACACAAGTGTGAGAAACAGTAAATTAGTAACTGTGGAAGTCTTGGTAAATGGACACTTGAAATCAACATGTTGCTCTTCTAGCAGTTTGCTGCTGCCTAGTTTCCATGAGACCATGTGCAGAGTACCATCCAAAATGGCCGAGAAGCTGGTTATCATCTGGCTTTGTAGGAAATATAAAAACCTGTGCAGCGTGTGGTCCTTGCTTACCAGTAAGCAGAGCTGTGCATTTGCAATTTTTAATTTGGTACTTTCAGCACAGGAAGTGCATTTCCGTATACTACTGAACTGTATCTAGTAAAGATCAACTGTTGGAATGCATTACTTCCATCTGTTTGATTTAATTGTTTATGTAGAGTACATGCAACCTGACCCAGTGCATTTTTACACAGAAGTACAATTGCCAACACATACTGCTATGTAAGAATGCAGCCTTAAAAGCTAAGCATCTTTTTGGTATTCAATTAAGCACAGTGAATTGCAATTTAGTCTACAGCCAAGGGCCAACACTTCTTGACAGCTGTACGTTTGTGCCAAGATTCAACTACTCACAAGGTCAGCACCTGACATATAAAGTAGAAGCACTTTCCTTACAGTTGCAAGCTAGCTAGAAAGATCCTCTATGCATGCAACAGGATCTTCCCAGGAAGCCTGTGTATGTGACAAGAAGGGCATCACTGCAGATTTCAAAGAAAGTACCTCATTCTACAAATTAACTACAACAGAAAGTCAGTAAAATCTATTTTGTTTTACAGCTCAAGTAGTAAAGAGACTTTAATAGAGCTTTAGCAACTGTTTAAACTGAATACATATTGCAAGAAGAGAAGCGTGGAAGGCCCTGCTCCATGTCTATCCCAGTCTATCCCATCTTGAGGCCCTGTACTTCCTGCTCCATCTGTCTCCTTCACCCACCTTATTATCTTGGCGGCTGTCAAACTTTTCTTAGTGCTGGTTCAGAAAAGACATCCAGACAGCTTGTAAGAAATTGTACCGGGCTTTTCTAATAGTTTAAATATTCCTTTGATGTGTTCATTACTATACCGACATTGAGCAATAGTCAAAACATGAAGCATTTTAAACCCAGTAACAGAAAGCCACTCTTAAGTCCAGGCTCAGAGTTAGGGTTTATGCCAGCTTCCCACTCTCATACCACAGAAAGAAGCCACCCACTTGTGAGCTACAGAAACATGTAAGTATATTTCAAAACACCACAAAAGGCTGTACCATACATGTTACTCTACTGCTTTAAAGCGCCATCCTGCAGACAAACCATTAACGCATACATACTAATTTTCAAGCTCATTTTCCCTCATTTAGGAGAAGAAACAAAAACAATTTACATTATCCAAACAAAAACTTTGTAAGCGGCAATGGTTTATAGTATTTCATTACCAACACTTCCCTAGTAAAAACTGTAAGTCATAAAAAAAGATTTTATTGAATAGAAATGAAAAAAAAAAAAAAAACCAAGGCTTCCTACGAAAGACTATATCCATCCATTTTGGAATGTAAACTCTGAGCAGAAATAAAAAGCTCAGTTCACATATTTAGAAGTCCCTGTTGGGTGCAATCAGAATGGCCTGAAGGGAGAAGAGTAGCGTGGAGATCCCCTGCTTTGGTATGGAGAATCGCGACTCCTTGAACCAGAACGGGAGCGCGAGTAGCCATAGCTGATGCTTCTTTCAGGACAAACTCTGATATAGGATGTTTCACCCTGGAATTTAAAACAGAGAAAACCCAAATATTGGCATAACATGCTGTAGTCAATGAATGAATGAATGCCAGAAATGGAGATCAGACATCAATGCACAAGTGGTTCGAGGCTGGAGAGTTTTCACACAGGCAGTACGAATCCTTCTACTGCTGCCTTAGGCCAAAATTCTGGCGTGGGCATGTTACAGAACAGTGTTGTGCAGGCATTAGTAAGGCAATCACAGCCAAGTTCTGTCCCCATGTAACTAAGAAGGGTGAAGATGTCTGTTTCCATCTTTTAACTGCCAGAGGGAAAGAGATGTAAGCTAGTGCAGTCCTTCGGCATAGGTAGGAGATGCCTTGGTGAACCCTCTCACAGCTCATCTTAATTTAATTGTCTCAGTAGCTCAGGTTCTGGAAGGAGGTTCCACAGCAAGCAGCCTCCAGCTGTGTCAAGGCTGGTTTCAGAAGATCAGGCCACTGGAAGGAGATGGTTGCAACTGAGGTATCAAATGCCCCAAGACTGAACAAACCAATTCATGGCAAAGGTATCATGAGATCACCACAGGCAGCGGTTCCATGCACAGGCGGGGAAAATTGCTTTGGGGTAACCACTGCAGTTTCTCATCTGGAGAGTAACACTGCAGTTTGCTGGTACAACCTCTGGCTGCCAAGGAAACATGAGCTAAGCTTATTCAAGCAGAACAGCCAGTCGCAATCTCTGTTCAGCCACTGGCTGTCAAAGGGAGAATGGTAAAGCAAGTCAACTTGACTTACCCTGAAGAAGTTGGAGGCAAATCATCCGAATGTTCGTTCTCCATGTAACTTAGGAACAAAACTACAAAAACTGGTCTCTGCTGTGAGGGCTCACACCGTGCCATCATGGGGCAGGTTTCAGAAAGCCTCAACAACTCTTAAGCTGGATTCCTAACATGCTACGAAGACTATCATTAGCCACCAATTCCGAGACTATTGCTAGGCTGTGCCCTGGAGCCTCTTGAGAGCATCACATGTCCTCCGTGATGGGCACCCGCACACGCTCTTCACCCACAGGCAGGAACCCACCTCATGAGAGCGGAATTTGGTGTCATCCAGTTTACGCAGTGCGTATTCCATGTCTTCCTTGCGAAGAAACTCAACCACCCCCATTCCATCTTTCTGTACATCTGCATAACATACATCACCAGCTTCACGCATATGATCTTTCAGGTCCTGCCAGCTGCCTGATGGAGGAAGCCCTGAGCAGTGAGAACACAAAACATAAGAGACCATGTAAAGAGATGACACTAGCTGCTTAGGCTATGCCAGGAAAGGCTGTGCACCCTCAACCAGTCCCTCCAGGGCGTCGAAGCTCCACTAATTCCAGATTTCCTGTTTATTCCAGAGGGTCAGAGCTACAATAAGAACAGAAGTATCCAAAGAACAGCAATTGCGTTCCATTCCAGAGTGGATGAGCCCTCCACGCCAGCAAGGTAGTCCCCTAGGCAGCTCTAGGATTCAAAGTGTTGGGCCTTCAGAGGGATCCTCTTGTTGGTCCAATGTAAACTCAGAATCACCCCTAACTCACTGAACAGATTGTACTCCATGTATGGCTTAGATCAGATTCCCATCCAAGAATGACAGTCCCCTTCTAATAGTATGATTTTGGGTCCTGAGGTTCCAATAGCTCATCCTTCAATGGCAGAGCAAGGGTACCAGTATTTAACTATCGGCTTGCTTTTTAAGAATAAGCAAAGGAAAGGAGATTCCCTGTTCCACATCATATTCTGGAGACATTAGCATACTGCTGTTCCTGGCAGTTTTCAAGGATGCTTCATATACTCTCTAGCAACGCAAGTTCTCACATTCATGCCAAAAGTCAAGAGATTTTTCGAGATATCCTCCCTGCCCTCCCAGGCTTCTGTGTGGGAGATGGACACCTGGGATTCAACACTTTTCAAGTCCTGCTGCAAAGCTGAAGAGATTGCAGTTCAGAGTTTCCTCACAGTGAGCACTCATTTCTAGCCACGATGCCACAGGAGCATGCAGAGAAGAACAGTTGTGTCACTGCATTTTATTTAGGTAGTGCATGGGAATAAACCAGTTTTTATGGGTTTGCTTTAAGTGGACCATTCCGTAAATCTGGTCAGGGAGTGTAGAACTTTTCCAGAGATCTGATCACCACAGCAAAGCCTCCAAAATACTTCCATTTCTCTCCAGTAAGAGGACTTTCCACTCTCTCTCCCAACTCACTACATGGGTATCTATTCCGGTTATGTCAAAGTTGCTCTGAGGAATCCAGAAGGTTACAAATTAAGGGATCTAATTCAGATAAATTTTCTCTCCTAATGTGCAAGTAATGTGCAGCTGCTGCAGCACCAGCCAAATCTCTGTGTTTAACAGACTTCTATTTTTTCACAGCATCATTTGCTTTAAAGTTACTTTAGATCATGTGACGTTATTAGGACCCATTTCTCCTCGTCCTGCACATTACAAGAGTGGTCCCCAGCTTCTTCTTCTGACCCTTGGCCCACCCTAGTTGCCCACTTCCAAGTCCAGTGAGTTTACACCTGCCTAGAGACGGAGACATTCTTGCTCCCCATTCATTCACCAAGATGGACTCCGAAAGCAAAAAGACTTCCTCCATGAAGTGAATCAGAACAGTGTGTTGTCCTCTTGCAGTTCTGAAAAAACTCCTTCATAGCCACAGGTCTCATATTAAAGAAGAAACCTTGTATTACGGCAGCAAGGCACTCCTTCACCCCAACACAGTATGAGTGAGGCATGGCATCAGGATGGGTCCTAGTCAGTATGAAGTACAGAAGGCAACATACCTGAAACAAGGACTCGGAACTCAGAACGTCGTGAAGGAGGGCCATTCCTCCCACGAGGCCCCCCACCAAAGCCTCCACCCCGACCTCTGGAAGGTTTGGGGAATTCAACACGCAGACGACATTGGCCATAATCATAACCATTCCTTCCATAAACTGCATCTTCTGCATCTCTGTGAACAGATGATACATGACTATGTTTAGGACTGCTCCAACTGAGCAACTGAGGAACATGCAATGTACTAAGGACTATTACACTTTAAGCTTAAATATGGAACTACTGAAAAGAAGCAAGAAAGAGCAGGAAAGTCTTGATTTTGAAGATGGCAGGCATCAGCACTCATCAAAATCCACCTCAACATGTGGTATTCTCAGGTCCCTAAGGACCAGTCTTTGCCACAGTTCCTGAACTATCAGTCAAATTTCTAGTTTGCAAGTGACAGAGATACTTTCATAATTTGAAAGGTATGGATTGTATGCATAATTCACAGGGGTGTGTGCAGATTTGCAAGGAGGAATTCAAGAATTCTGTACGTTCAAGCAATAAGCACCAGCATATTCTTTCACCAGGGGCTTCCTATTTATTTCCCAAACACCAATTATTGTGTGGACTTGCTGCTTTCTAGTATAGAATCAAGAAGATAGCAATCAGATTAACCAAGTTTACTGCCTGGGCACTTTGCTTCATTTATCTAAAAAAGCCCAGTGCCAATTAACTAAAGCAAAGCTACTTTAAAATGACGATGAGAAAAATAAGCTACTCTGTTCAATTATTTCAATACTTTAAGGAGTTTCGCATTTAGGCAAAACATATCTCAGGACTGTGGATCACAAACTGAACATCAATCAGCAACGTAACACACTTATTAAAACTTCATACTGAATTAAAAGAAAAATAATTTCCAAGTCCAAATCAAAAGTTCCAGATGAAGTCTGACTAATGCAGAATAAAGTGGAATACTGTAACATGTACACTTTAGACAAACTGCAAAGTATTAAAGAACAGTGAAGATAGTCGAGCATATGGGAAACAAATCCTATGAAGCAAAGTTGAAGGTACTGGGTTTAAGATAACTGAGGGGAGACATTTCTTTGTATTTGTTAAATGTATAAACTACTACCAAAAAACCAAAACACTCTTTGAAGACGAGGGAACTCTTGAAATATCTCAAGGACTGTAACAGGGAAGAGGAGAAAGGCTACTTTCTCAAAAGGCAAGACTAGATGTAATGAGCTTATAAGTTACAGGAGACTTTTGCTGAACAGTATAAAAAATAACTTGGTTTTAAGAGCAGCTCAACAATAGAAACAAATACCTGGCAGTGTACTTAATTGGAGAAGGAAGTTTCCAGACTGAGGCTAAATAACCATCTGTTGGGAATGCTTTGGATTTTCAGCATTAAACAGGAGGATGAACTAGAGGGCTTACAGGATCCTTCCATCTCTATTATTCTCTGTCATTCCATCTCCATAAATCAATCAATAATTTTCTAAATGCTGTTTTAGCAATTTTATGTGAAGGCCTAGCCTAGGGAAGCCCCTTCCAAGAGCACCAGCATCTTTGTTGCGGTGCTAGTTAAAACTCGACCTTTGTTCCTGACAGGAACAACCCAAACCCTACTGTAACTGCACCAGGGCTGGCCAGGTCAGGAATGAAGAGTGAGGTATAGCAACTGAGCTAAATGATACTGCAGCCTATCCCTCCTTGCTCAACAACTTAACAGTTCAAGGTCTGACGCCAATCAAATAAGCTATAGTGTTGTTATTGAATGTGCAGAGATAACCATTGCTTAAATTTCAACATTTAATATTTCATTTTCAATATTTGGATTTGTAGCCAAAAACATTGTCATATCATCATCACCCACTTTTTCCTGCAAGGAATCCAAGGCAGCTTACATATTCTTATCCCTCCTCTACATTTTATCCTAACTACTTTGGGAGCTAAGGTTGGGAATTAGTAGCCAAGGATTATTAAAAGTCAATGACATCTTTTAAACCTTCCAATAACTGAAGTTCTCTGTTAATATTAGTATTTCTATTTCGCTGTTTTTCCACTTGTGAAGAACCCAAGGTGGCTTATACATCTCCATTTCATCCTTATAAAAACCCTGTAAAGTAGGCTAGGCTGAGAGGGTGGCCCAACATCATCTCAGGACATAACTGGCAGCAGGCAGAATGTTAAAACTGGCAGGTATGTGGTAGTTCTTCTTATTCAGGGGTTCAACATGGAAGTTTATGACGTGTGCATTTCTTGCACCAAGAAGAAAGGCAGAAGGTAGGAAGATTTAGAAATTCTGGCATTTGGGATTTGGGGATATGAGGAGGAGGAAGAGGATGCATATAGGAACAAGGTGCTAAGAATATCAAGGGAGATGACAACCTCAAAGCCTCTGGTGGAGGGCATGCTGGGGCAAGGGGGAGCAGGGGCTGAAATCCTTCCCAAGCTCCTGTTTGTAGAGGTATCAAGTGAGGAATTTGTTTTGTGTCTAACACATAGCACAGTCCCTCACATACATTAGAGGAGGAAGAAACCAGGCAAAAAGCAAGTAGACGTCCTAGTTTAGACAATTCATATTTTCTGCTTTTGAGAGGCTAGGTTCCATGGAATTTCCCTCTTCTACATTCAGCAAGCGTACATAATGGTAGTTGTGGTAATTCTTAGTAAATTTTAAGAGCTACACCCAAAACCTTAATTTTAAATAAGAAGCATGTCTTAACAACATTTGTAGTGGTTTCTTTTTAAATGTCCAGTACTTAGAGTTATTATAAACCCCAGTTAAATAGCCACACACTTTGTCAAGAGATCCAAAGAGGTTTGTACTTCTGGCATGAATATGTTAGGATATAGGTCCATTTTAACTGCTCAGGCTAGAACAATAGTTAAGCTGAACTGGTGAGCTGCACATAGACATTAAACACTCCTCTCAGTCTAAGTTGCAACCCAGGAAACCTCTGCTCCAAACCCTGTCTCTGCCATAAACTTATCAGGGGCACTGAGATAAGCCATTCCCATAATATTCAAAATATGGACATAATTGTGGCCTACCTTAATGGTTTCTTGTAAAAACCGTAACAATTATCTGTGCTGATGTGCTCTGAATGCCCTGAAGTACTGCACAGCTACCAAGTGACATCCTGTTTTATGTTTTTTTTAATAGTGATTCTAGTTTATATTATTTTCCAAACTATATGGGCAATTCTGTATTGAAAGACAGCACACACATTCATAATTAAATAAACCTTCATAAGTAACAGTTTACCCTATTTAAGAATTAGCATCTTGAGGTATCAATGGGAAAACTCGTATTTGCTGGGAATATTCTTGGACTTGCAAACACCTTCCTAAATTTGCTGTCTGGTTTATGTGTTTTTGGTACTGTGTTTTGATATATCTATTTACCCAGGCATTTTAAATGTATGCAATATCTCAGTCAACATTTGTGATTTAAACTTTTGTTCCTGTCTTCAGTTATGGCTATTACATATTAATTTTATATGTCCTTAGGTTTTAACATTTGCGGTTTTTTAATAACTCAGTGGACACTGCGCTAGAATCTCTATCGTGATGAAGGGGGCACAGAAATGTTTTAAGCAAATAACGCACATGAGGGGGAGAGAAAACTCAGGGCTTTCTCCGGGAAGCCGTTTGCAGCAGCATCGAGTCCCCGACTTCTCCCGGAGCGAAGCCCGAATGCTGCTGCGATAGCGGAGAGCTGGTCGCCTGCGGAACCCCGGGAAGCGCCGGTCCGGGGCGCCCGCCGCCCTCCACCCCCCGCGGCCCCCGCCAGGAATTGCGGTCCGGCCCCGGCGCGCCTCGGCGCAGGGCCGCGCTCGCAGAAGGCGGGAAAACGCGGGGCGAGCCCTCGCGCTCCGCGGCCCAGGCAGGCCGCGCGGGCCGTCCCGGAGCGCTCGGCGGGCGCGGGCGCGGGGGCGGCGGCGGCCACCGGGGGCCGCGGAGCGCGAGGGCTCGCCCCGCGTTTTCCCGCCTTCTGCG